GTGGTAGAGCAGAGAGACAGATTTGCACACACAAAAAAAAATATTCCAATGATGAAGCCATCATTTAAGTCTCTTCAATGTGCTTTGTGAATGAATATGCATGAGTAATATATGTACTAGATTATATGGAAACACTTCCTTATAGGCTCTAGATTATGCCACTGATAAAACAGAATACTTTTGTTTGTTTGGGCATTCTGTCACAAGGAAGTAGTTGCCTAGATATTTAATGGTTAGATCTCACTGATCTTCATATGCAAATAAGCCATATAACAGAAGAATTGGGAGGTCATGTGCTACTCAGATGTAAATGAGGATATTTGGTCAGCTAAAATAAAAGTCTTAGGGTTACTGAATGTGGGTATCACAAGCTTTTAATTCTAGCAGAGGTTGGTGGATACCTGTGAGTGCAAGATCAGTCTGGTCTACACCACAAGTTCTAGTAAAACAGGGACTTTAGTAAACAGAAAGAAAAGAAAAGAGTCAGTAGTTACAGAGGATTTCTAAAGTGTTATTGTGAACATGCATAAACTACCTTTCTATAAAATGGGCAATTAAGATCATATGACAGTGTTCTACTGAAATTTATTGTTGCATTTTTTCGACAGAGACCCACCCTTCTACCATATTCCTCTCTCTACATGTGCCAAGTAAAGCAGACCTCAGTACTTTGAAGATTCTTCCAGACAGCTCAGAAGAAGAGGCCTGGGGTGCAAGTCTTCATGTTTGATAAGGCACTAAGGGGTACATGACATGAATGATGATTTCTCTCAGACTTAGAGTGTCAATTCATTTCTCACTCTTCATTGTGTATGAGACTTATGCTATATCCTTATCCCCCATGGCAATCAGTCCAGTGTCTTGGTTGTTGAATCCCACCTCAACTATAGAAATAAATACACGTGCTCACTGCTGCATCCAGTGAAAACATGTAGCATTTCTCTTATGGGGGTGATTCTTTCATGTTTTGCTATCTTACAGATACTTGATTACAATATAAAGGTAATTGTAATGATATGGCAGGAGGGGGCCTTTTGGCCAAATTGCCCCATGGTAGATGAGAGACAGAGACACCATGAAGGCAGTGCTCAGTAGAGTTTTATTTGGTGGGGAGAGAGAGATGGGTGAGAGGAGTGCACATCTCATGGGAATAGAGAGAAAGAGAGAGCGGAGAGGAGGAGTTTTATCTTCAAGTAGGATTTACATTAGGATGCACAGGGCAGGCCCCCAAGGGGTTGGCCACAATATAACATTCCTCCATTTTGATTATTATTAAAAGGCAAGTTATGGATAGCAAGTGGGGGAATGAGGGTGCGGAATTCTCAAGACTGCTTCCTACTGATTTGGGGGCAAAGTGGGAGTTGGAAGTTGGGAACTGGAGTCATGTACAGCAGAATGTGTGAGTGAAGGAACATTCAGTTGGCTATCATCATGGAGATCTCAGGCATCTGTTCCTCGAGGGAGCTGAGAAGGCAGGCAAGTTGCTAGGAGAAAAAAATAAATTGTTATCATTGCCCTCATGAGTGGGGCTAACCATGGGAAGAGTGACAACTGCCAGAAAGAATGGAACAGAGAAGTGCCCTGGTTGTACAGAAGAGGCAATGGGGGTGAATGAGTGAGACATGAGAACGGATACATCCCTTTAAGGACATCTTGGAAAACCAGGTTCTGGTTGCTGGGCAGGTGCCTGCTTGAGTCTGGAGAGGTGGTACCAGTAGCGAATTGAGGGATGATGTGATCTTTAGGAGTACATGAGCCATCACATTTGCTGTTTCTCTGGGGTACATCCATCCCAGCTGGCATCCTCGGTTGGTAGTTGGTACTCTCGGAGCTGGTGCAGGGACTGGCATATCTGGAGGACCCTCTATGGGTTGGCCTTGCCCCACGCAGGAGGAGTGAGACTGCAAAATATGCTCAAAAATGGGTGTGGTGCAAATGGGCTCTGAAGACTGTTAGTTTTTATTGGACCAGATTTCTTGATACTGTAGTAGACCTTTTCCCAGAGGCCTGCAGGTATCTGTCAGATCGCTGGAACAGGTATACCTCCTGGTGCCATAGCAAAAGACTATGGCTTTGAGTTAGAAGGCATGAACATTTCCTGGCTTCAGCCCAATGAAACAGGTCTTTAAATCTATAACCAGAGGAAATTTACCGAATGGAAGTGGTTGAGTGAGTGGAGGAGGAGGGAGACTTCCCTAAACATCATCAGAGTTAACAGAAGTGAGACAACTTTCCTGTCTTCACATAAATAAACCTCAAACCTGTGTCTTTTTATCTAATTCACCAGAAGATACTGAGAGCAGTATTATCTCTAAGAGAATGAGGCCAGCTTATTTACATAGAGAACTGAGAAGGCAGCTGAAGCAAATCCTGGTTGTCAGATGGTATCAGAGATCTAAGAAAGATAAATTTTACCTTAGTTAGCAATTGGAAGTGACAGAGACTTACCTACTGGCTACCTAGACAGCCACCCCAGGGTCCTCCATGGTCATTGAGAGCAACAACATTAGTCTTCAGCTGCCAGGCCTCAAAATATTCAATGGTTGTGGGGTAGGTGATATGGATTCACAACATGCCCCTACAGTTAGGCATGGTCATGCATGCCTGGAGGGACCTAGTCACTTCCGCCTAGTCATTTCCGGGTCAAAACGTCTTGCTTGTCCAGGACCCTGTAGCTTTGCGTGGTTGCATAAAGCATGTAGCGCAACCATGTAATCTCCGTGCATGCGTGGAATAGCCACATGGGCCTGTGTGCACAGGTGCGGCCCAGCCTTTATAAGCCGGCGCCATGACTCCCGGCCCCACTTCACTCACATGTCTTTCCACAGGCCTGTGCACATCTGTCCCTCTCCCTTATCTTAATAAGTGGATTCTGTCGTGTTTCATGACATTTCCTCGCAGGGTAAGAGCGCCGCAAATAAACCAACAGTAGGTGCTTGTGGGAAGGACCAGCCTACCTTTGTCGAGGCAAAAGTAAGGCAATGTGTTCCCAGAGTCCTGCTGTCCATGGTCTGAAGAAGGCCCTGGCAGCAGCTGAGGTTCTTCTGTGCCCATCTCAGTGGCTGGTGCTGCCATTCTGAAGCAAGTTCTGAGTGGAGGTTCTTCTGTGTCCAGCCTTCTTCTTTGGAGGAAATAAAGGTGCTGCCAGGAGACAGCATGTCTCTCTATCATGAAAAGCTTTCTAATTAAATATTTTAAATGCCATATTCTGCAGCTATGGGAACATTTGAGAACTGTCTGTCTATTAGGTATGAATGGCCGACTATCAACTAGTATTCCCTAAGTCTCCAATGTCTTAGCAGCTTGCCTAAGGCTTGGGCTTACTGTCTCCTGAGAAGGCAAATAAGAGTGACAGGGAAAGATCCCAGAGCCGAATGGGAACAGGAGAAAAGAGGTGAATTGAGGAATGGCCCAACTCTGAGAAAAGGACCTTCTGAGAAAAGAAAAAGGACCCTCTGAAAAAAGGACCCTCCCAGGGGACCAGAAACTCCATCCTGAATGATTTACATAGAAATAATTATTTCTTAAGCTCAAATAATACCTCTTTTGTTCTGCATAAAGAAGGTCAAGGGTCTTATCCTATTGCAGAATTGTTTTAGTTAATAAATCTATCAATTGACAATATTGAATGTAGTTTCCTGGTATACCAAGGCTCATTAGCTAACCAATTTGTCCCCTATGGCAGAGGGTCTACCTTTAACTTAGCCTTTAGCATGTTCTGGGAATGGGGAGAACAAGACGATGTATTTTCTTCCGTAACTGCTTCAGGCTGAAGTGGTGTGCAGGTGAACATGTATTTTCTTCCGTAACTGCTTCAGGCTGAAGTGGTGTGCAGGTGAACAGAGCCCAAGGAGGCCGAGAGGCCAGTCAAAGGTAACAAGGGAACCCAGGCAATGGGGAAGTGTGTGGTCATATGACCTGGCTGTAGAGACTGGGAACAATTATGTTTGGTTGGACTTGTCCATATCATATCAGCCTTCAGCAAGTCTAGAGCTCATGGTCCTTTGGAGCAGAGTGTAGTCAGCAATTGATGTTTGGATGTGTCTGCCAGCCAAGTGGAAACCTGCTGAAGCAGTGACCAGAGACAAAAGTTAAAATTTATGAGCTTATTTGGAACCTTTAGTCTCATGGTTTAGTAATTGGAAAAGGGAGACCAGGAGACAAAAATACTCTCTCAGGAACAGACAGGCAAGGAAAACTCCTTTATCTGGAGCAGGGGTGGGACATCTGAAAAACAGCAGTAGACTCATACCCATAAGTTTATATTTGGAAGACAACCAAAGAAAATCCAAAATCCTGAGTTTGTGACTGAAACTGCATCAGAACTCTATTAATGTTTAACATTAAATGTTAAAATCTGAACATTTAAAATCTTAATATATAGAAGGAGAAAGTAATCTGAAGCATTTAAATCATTTATTTATGTTGAGAGACCTAGTAGCTTCAGGAAAAGTAAGTCTTGATTTTTTTTTAACTATAAAATAAGCTGGCAAGTTGGCCATATTGTTAGCATGTGGCTCCACTGATGCCTGAGAGCCCCAGAGGAAATCAGTGGCCTTGGAGGAAGGAACACCAGGCTGTGACTGGATCTGTGCCATGCATTGGCACAAGGTGGAACTTTTTTGACACCTCCCCACCCTGGTACAGACAGCTCAGTGCCAGGCACCCTGCCCATGCTTCAGCCACTGTCAGGAAGTGACTTTCTGCTGCCCTTAGTTAAGATGGCAGTGAGGTCATATGGTGTGTCCCTCTTTGACATTATCTAAGACGGTGTGCTTGCCTGAGTATGTGATCACCCTCTGGTGCCTGACCACGTGTTCACCTGGGTTTTTTGTTGTTGTTTGTGTTTTGTTTCATTTTCTAAGACAAACTGAACAGATAAGGAAAAGATAAACTGAAGCATTTAAAAGTAAGTCAGAAACACATTTACGTGGCCAACCCCTGAGCCTTAGCAGTGGCGGCAGCAGCAGAGGGAAGATGCTGTTGGCCTGGGGAGGACCATGGCTCTGCTCGGCTCACCTGCAGAGGTGGCAGTGGCGGCAGAGGGAAGGAGAAGAGAGGCAACCAGGGAACAGACAGAACAGTTTGAGAGCAAAGGCAGGAGGGTGAAGGCACCAGGCAGCTGCAGGAAAATGGTGGTGCTGGGTCGGCAGGTGGAACAGGCAACAGCAGCAGTGCAGCAGGGTGGGAGAGAGGGACCCCTGGCTGCATCATGGCAGTGGTGGCCACAGGAGGAGAAAAACAAGAAACAGAGACAGAGAAGGATGAGGCATTTAGGCATTATGTGCATTTTCCACAGAGAGGTAGAAGGTCCAAGAAACTGACCTCTAGTGTCCCAGAGGGTTAGTGAGGACCAGTAACAGCTCAAGATAGCCAATGGACCACCATACAAAGGCTGTGGACCATGCAGTGAGTGGGCACAAGCTGTGCCATGTGCCATCACATAGGAACGGGGCAGGAGAGCTGAAAGCTTGAGACACATGGTGGCCAGTGTCTTCGAGAAACCGATGTTGAGACAACATGAGTCCTCACTCATGGAAAGTGGCCAGAAGGGAAGGGGAGAATCTTACAGATAGGATGAAGGGTCCCAGTGGCACCTCATGGGAATAGAGAGAAAGAGAGAAGGGGGAGGAGGGATTTTCTCTTAAAGTAGACTTTACTTCAGAATATGCAGGGTGGGTCCCCAAGGGGCAGGCCAGAATGTCAACTGTAATAAGCACAATTACTGGGTGCCAAATATCCAATAGTTAGTATCCCTTTTCAGACATAAACTTAGTTCAGCAAATTCTCTGTGTCTGGTGTGGTAGTAGAAGTTGGTCATCTGTTTACTTAAGGAGATCCTCACAAAGCAGCTAACATCAATCACTCAGGAGGAACCCAGCAGTTTCCAAGTTTAAAGCAAATGCTGCAGAAAGCCAAGCCAGCTGCACACAGTCCAGCTGCTTCCTGGGGTCTAAATAAATAAAACTTCTTTGAATGGGAAGCCTAAATGTTTTGATGACTCATTAGTGTGGGTGGGTGATGTTACCTGGGATGTTTTTTGGGAGTATAGAAAGGGTATGAAGTACTACCTGGCTATATCCCAGGAGGCTTGCTGGGCCAGGTTCTGGGAAGAGTGGCCCTGTTGCTTCCTGTGGTAACAATAGGGTAGGCACTAGACATGGTTGACTGCAAGAGGTAGATTAGGCTTCTCAACAGTTTTCTGTGATTGTGCAAGTCTGGGCAGGTCTGTCCTGATAACTGACCGAACAAGATTGGCCAAGGTGTAGGAAAATAGCTTGCTTTTTCATAAGGCCCTGAGTTGTTGCTATCCCCAAACTGTGCTGACCACCAGGAGCTTATGTAGGCACCATGAGTGATTCACAGAATACAGCAGTGAATATTTGCATAATGCCACACTATGCTATAGGTTTCTGATAAATTTCCCCAGATGGTCGTAGGGTCTGTAAAAGCTATAAGCTCCTCCAGCAACAAGTACCTAGCTGTCTGCAGTACTAGTGAGAATGGCATAGGGACTGTTGCTTACCCTTCCTTATTTGGCTCAGCTGCAGAGACAAGACAGTAAATACTATGTACTCAGTTCTGTTCTTTGTAGGGTTCTTTTCGGAATTGTGCTCTTTGACATCTTGATCATGTTACTGTTCCACTCTGGCACTCTGCCTTAGACTCATCAGTACAGTAAAAGCCGGTTCTTCTGCTAAATACCCTCTCAGTGCAGTGATATATTCCAGGCACCTGGGGTTGTCCACTTTGTTGGATTGCTAAACTTGAACATTTATTATTACTTACTCTAATTTCCTCTTATGAATTGTATTAGTTTCATTTCTGGGTTAGTAACAAAAAGAAATATTGAAAAGAAAGGACTCATTTCAGCTCACAATTCCAGGTTACAGTCCAGCACAGTAAGGAAGTCACAGCATCATGAGCTTGAGAAAGCTGGTCATATCACATCCACAACTAAGAGCAGAAAGAAAAGACACATACATGATAGTTTGTTCACCTTGGTTAGCTTTCTCTTCTCTTATGCCATTCAGGAACCTTTGCTTCAGGGATGATGCTACCAACACTGAACTATGTCTTTCTTCATTCATTAAAAACCAAGAAATATCCCCACAGACATGCCCTATCTAATTTCATATAGATTATCCTTTAATAAGACTTTCCAGGTGATTCTAAGTTTTATTGACAGTAAAAACTTACTAGTACATGGGTCATACTTTCATAAAAATAGTTCACTATTCTACAATTTCTGCATAGAACAATCACCTTGTCTTTCCTTTCTTTTTCCATCTGATCTAATCCTCTCTTACCCTGAGCTATTTGAAGTGTTGAGAAAGAGTTATTTCTATGATTGACTCCTTGGGTAATTTACTCCAGAAGAGTGAGTTTAATTGGGGCATGAAAGGATACATGCACATGAGCAATAGTTATTTCTCAATCGGCATACACACCTCAGTATAAAGAACCCTGGAACCTGTTCATACTTTCAGGTGCACTGGATGATAGGAGAGAAAAGCCATGGCTGGTGAGTTGTCCTATTTTGAAAGGGGCTGGGGTAGTGAATCCACACATGGGAAGGGGCTGGGGTAGTGAATCCACACATGGGAAGGGGCTGGGGTAGTGAATCCACACATGGGAAGGGGCTGGGGTAGTGAATCCACACATGGGAAGGGGCTGGGGTAGTGAATCCACACATGGGAAGGGGCTGGGGTAGTGAATCCACACATGGGAAGGGGCTGGGGTAGTGAATCCACACATGGGAAGGGGCTGGGATAGTGGATACACACGTGGGAAGGGGCTGGGGTAGTGAATCCACACGTGGGAAGGGGCTGGGGTAGTGAATCCACACATGGGAAGGGGCTGGGGTAGTGAATCCACACGTGGGAAGGGGCTGGGGTAGTGAATCCACACGTGGGAAGGGGCTGGGATAGTGAATCCACACGTGGGAAGGGGCTGGGGTAGTGAATCCACACGTGGGAAGGGGCTGGGATAGTGGATACACACGTGGGAAGGGGCTGGGGTAGTGGATACACACGTGGGAAGGGGCTGGGGTAGTGAATACACATGTGGGAAGGGGCTGGGGTAGTGAATACACACGTGGGAAGGGGCTGGGGTAGTGGATACACACGTGGGAAGGGGCTGGGGTAGTGGATACACACGTGGGGGCTGGGGTAGTGAATACACATGTGGGAAGGGGCTGGGGTAGTGAATACACACGTGGGAAGGGGCTGGGGTAGTGGATACACACGTGGGAAGGGGCTGGGGTTCCTGGAGAGTATCATTGGATTCTGTAGGTGTTTAGATGGGCTACAATTAGGAAAATGGAGTACAGCAGGGAGGAAACGTGCACAGAAGATTCTCAAAGCCATCGAAAGGAAAGTGAAATGTACTTCACTGGCATCCTTCTGTCATTTTGAAATCTTAGCTCTTAAATGTCCTTAGTCTAACAAATGGAATGGAATGAGTCTTAGAGACTGTTGCCCTCAAAGAAAATGAGTTACTGTTATTTCTAATTTTATTAATCTGAATACACATGGGACAGAAATGGATGGTTTCCTCTAAGGTCCTAATAAAGACTGCATCCCTTGCCCTGTGTGCATACATGGGTAATGTGGAGGGGAAATGTGGTCAGACACACAGAGAGGATAGAGAAAAGTTAAAGGATGTGAAAAGAGAATATTGCTGATGAAATCTGAAAGGAGGCATACCCTGTTTGTGATGAGAAGATAACCTAGGACTGTTTTTCTGACTTGAGAAATCTTTGTGCTCTAAACAGACGACATCCTAAGAGCAAAGAGGAAGCAGTTCATCCGTTCAGTGGGTGAAGTGACAATAAATGGCTTGCTGGATGAACTTTTGGAGAAGAAAGTGCTGAACCAGGAAGAGATGGAGAGAATAAAACTGGAAAATGACACTATTATGGAAAAGGCACGGGACCTGTGTGATTCTGTCATTCGGAAAGGTCCCAAGGCATGTCAAATCTTTATTAATTATATTTGTAAAGAAGACGTCTACCTGGCAAGAAATATAGGACTTTCTTAAGGTAAGAACTAAACTCCCAGGAAAATTTGTGTCTTTCTTTCTTTCTTTCTCTTTTTCTTTCTTTCTTCCTTCATTTATTTATTTATTGACATTAACTTTTTTATTGTCTTACGTGCTGGTTAATCTTGACTGTCAATTTGACCAATATACATTACCTGGGAAGAAAGTCTTAATGAAATATTATCTAGTATCCAATTGGCTATGGAGGACTTTCAAATTTGTTCATTGATATAGGCAGATGCAGTTCACTGTGGGAGGTGCCATTCCATAGGTATTGTAAGAACAGTGTAAGAGAGGGTACAGTACTGAGGGCAAGCAGGCAAGAAAGTATCCCTGTGCTTACTCTCTGTTCTTGACGTTTCTTCAGTAACGGACTGAAAACTGGAGCTGAAGCGGGTGCTAAAAAAATTCCTTTACTACTCAATTGATTTTTGGCAAGTTGTTTTGTCACAGCGTCAAGAATAAAACTAGAAGACAAGAACTCAAACAGAACAGAAACCCAGATGCATGAGCTGATTGATGAAGAGGCCACGGAGGGGTGCTGCTTATTGGCTTACTCCCTGGGGCCTTATCAGACTGCTTGCTTATAGAACCCAGGACCACCCACCCAGGAATGACTCCACTCACACTGGGCTGTGCCCTCCCATATCTATCACTGATTAAGAAAAGGCCTGGCAGGCTTGCCTACAGACTGAGCTCATGCACACATTTTCACAATTAAGGTTCTGTCCTCACTTATGATTCTAGCTTCTATCAAGTTGACAAAAAACTAGCCAGGGCAACACCCCAACTGGTAACTCAAACTGTGGCACATTGTTAGATTCTTTCCTCAGGTGTGTACCCCAGTCTACCAACATTCCAGGTAGTACCTGATACTGCATGTATACCTTCTACATTGTCATGGGTTTCCATGACAAAAGTGCTCCACAAAGTGGATTTTCTGGATCTCTCTCTTCCTCCCTACACTGTAGCTTCTAATGTGACTGACAAGTGTGTATATCACCATTGAAGGTTCAGTCATATGTTTGCAACACAGTTGAATGTCATTCCTTTCTCTTTTTAAGATTTTAAAAGAAGTTTATGTTCCTTAAAAATGTACATTGCAGGAAACAAAAGCCAAGGGGACAAGAACTAAGTCATCTAATTGCAAGTATGAAGGAAAATCCCCCAAAGGAAGCTATGTCTGGATGTGAACAAAAAAACTCCTGGAAGAAAATTTTGTATCTACAGAGACTGATGGACCAATTGGAACTTCTGCACTGTGGAAAGATTGGAGTTTTGTAGGTTCAGAGACTAATTAGTTTCTGTTGGGCTCATTTTAGCCTTCTGCAACAGCCATCCCTTGCTCCACTCTGTATCTGAACTAACACCTAGTGATAATAAATAAAGACCACTGAGAAGCTAGTAACTCTGGAGAACATGAGATTTCACCAATCAGAGAGCTAAGATGGTCGCCAGATAACAGTTTAGGACTATATCAAAGCTTTGCCCATCTCAGTGTATCTGCTGAACTCACCAATGCATTTTAAACTTGCCTGGATTTATGGCTTTCTTGGTTTTCTAAAACTCGAAAAACTTGATGAAACTGCTTCCATGTTGGAACTTGGGATTTGGATAACTGAAGTCTGTGTTCCTGGGCCCTAGAAATGGCTCCAGTATAAACCTCTCTTTACCTGTAAGATGAGAGCTGTGTTTTTATGACACTAGCAGCTCAGTTTGATGTGTCCTTATAGACCCTGCACATTGTGTTTTGTCCCAGCCCCCAACCTCAGCAGGCACCCCCTGCTAGCCCAAGGGCAGCTCCTGCCAGGAAACTGAATAGTCCACACCTCTCCTCCTCCAGATCCACCCTCAGTCTCATCCCCAGCCCTGTAGCAGAAAACCTTCTGCCTTCTCCTTCTCCTCTGTCCTCATCCCCAACAGATCACAAAGATCTTCTCCCCAAAACTTCCTTTCCAAGACTCATCCTATTATTCCAGCCCCAACACCAGCAGGCATTCCCTGTGAACACACCAGCCTAGTAAGCCAGGGAAACAGGTAAGCACACTGAAGACCTCCACCACCCCCTCTTCCCTTCCCAATCCAATCCCCCAGTCTCATCCCTATCTCTGTAACAAAGCCCAGCTGCAGTCTCCCTTGCATGTCCCACCTCCCAGGCTACATTTCCTCTGGATCCAGCAGAGCATCCCCTCCCAACTTCCCTTGCACCATTCCTGGCTTTCCTCCAGCCCCTCCTCCAGCTGGTGCCCCTGCTGACTCACAGACCTCACAGGCCAGAAAACCAGGTCAACTGACTGCAGATCTTCTCTTCTCCCTCTCTTCTCCCAGATCCAATCTCCAGTCTCATCCTCAGCTCTGCAGCAGGAACAACTGCAGCAGCCTTCCCTGCACCCCAGTTCCCATCTCCTGTGGATCCCACAGATCTTCCCTTTCTAACCTTCCTGCCTTAAACTTGTTGCCTTGTCCCAGCTCATTCTTTGCTTATGACTAAGACACACTCCCTTCCTACCAGGAGCGATTCCAAGTATTGTGGAAAGATGGTTTCCAAGGTTGACTCCTTGCCAAACTGAGTTTCAGAAGAGTAAGTCTGATTAGGGAAGGAAGCATGCGCACACATGAATAGGGGTTATTGCTCAACCTGCATTCACGCCCTGGTGGAAATGGACTTTCAGTTTCAGTAGCTCCGGATGGTAGGAGAGAAGCACCATGGCTGGTGAGTTTTCCCTGTTGTTAAAGGGGCTAATTTGGTGACTGACTCGTTTGGAAGGGGGCTTTTCTGGAAGCTATCAGCAGCTTCTGCAGATATTTACTTGAGCTGAATCTGGGGAAAGGGAAGACTGTGTGGAAGAAATTTGCACAGAAGATTCTTAAAGCCACAGAAAGCAAAGGCCAGGGCCTGAGAGGAAATGGTGCTTTACTTGCATCCTGTGCCATTTTTCAATCTTAACTATTTTGTGTCCCTAGTCTGACAGAGGGAACCAGATAACTCACAGAGATGTAGGCTGCAAAGGAGAATGGTTTGTCGTCATTTCTTTGTTTTAGTCTTCTGATTTGAGAACATGTGAAACCAGGATGAGGCTTCATGCTTCTTGAGCTCTAACAGAAAGACAGTAACTTGGTACCCCTGCCTCCCCTTATATGCTCCTGTGTAATGCTGAGGGAAAACAGAGAACAGAGATAGCAAAAAGAAAGGGATAAGGGATGTATGTGAAGGAGACATTTTACTGATTCAGTCTGAAAGAGGCTATGCCCTCTTTACAACATGAAAGGGACACGTGGTTGTTTTCTTGACCTGAAAAATCCTTTTGCCTTAAACAGACAACATCCTCAAGGCAAAGAGGAAGCAGTTCATCCGTTCAGTGGGTCCAGAGACAATAAATGGCTTGCTGGATGAACTTTTGGAGAAGAAAGTGCTGAACCAGGGAGAGATGGAGAGAATAAAAGCTGTAAATGCCACTGTTATGGACAAGGCACGGGACCTGTGTGATTCTGTCATTAAAAAGGGACCTCTGGCATGCCAAATCTTTATCACTTACATTTGTAATGAAGACGTCTACCTGGCAGGAGTTCTGGAACTCTCCTAGAGTAAGAACGAAACTCCCAGGAAAATTTATTTATTTATTTTGCCAATGTTAACTTTTTTATTTTCTTATGTGCTAGTTAATCTTGACTGTCAATTTGACCCGTATAGATTATCTGGGAAGAAAGTCTTAGTGAAATATTATCTAGTATCCAGTTGGCTATGGAGGACTTTCAAATTTGTTCATTGATATAGCCATGCAGTTCACTGTGGGTGGTGCCATTCCATAGGCAGTGTAAAAGAGGGTACAGTACTGAAGACAAGCAGGCAAGAAAGTATCCCTGTGCTTATTCTCGGTTCTTGACATTCCTTCAGTAATAGACTGAAAACTGAGGTGTATGCTAAAAAATACCTTTTCCACTCAGTTGATCTTCGGCAAGTTGTTTTGTCACTGCATCTGGAATTAAACTATAACAGGAATCAGCTGGTAATGAGGGTGAGATTCTTGCTGTGCTCACCCTAAGCATGTAAGGGAAGGAATATGGAGACTTTGGAATTTTGGCCTGGATAAGCCATTGAGTGCATGGGCAAAGCTTAACAGGCCATTACAGTGGACATTTGGAAGAGGAGAATCTTGAGAGGAATGTAAACTCTGAAGGCCTAGTTAATGAGGTTTCAGAGAGAATGTGCATCAGCCATTCATGTGAGCCTGTGATATTATTATTAAGGTCAAGAATCTGTGTCTGCTCTTCAGACTTCATATAAAAAACTCAGCTGGGATTGGTTTCAGTCAGCATCACTGAGCTGAACCCTTCTGCAATTCATTTGAGATAATAGAAAAGTAGTTTCTTGGATCAGCAGAGAAGCTCATGCAATTGTGATGCAAGGGAGCCAGGCTACTTCTCAAATTCGGAGCATATCTTGGTAATATAAGTCATTCACAGAACTGAGTTTGAAGTCATGAAGGGTTTGTGGCAAGCCAAGAGTACCTGTGGAGAGACAATGAAGGCCATTCACAAAAATGAAGCATCAATTGCAATGGCGATGATAATGGCAATTGCAAGACAGTGGACATCCATCAAGGAGAGCATCCGGTGTGTAATAGCATAGGCCTAAGAGGGATGCCATGGGTATTATGGGTGCCAAAGCTGAAGGGGTGCTGTTGTGTTGATTGACACTCCTCCTGGTGAAAGATAAACAAATATCTGCTCATGCTACATGGAGAAATGAGGATAGAGAAAAGTAAGGGCACATCAAATCTCACCTTGCTGAAACGAGGAGTAATTAATCAGGGTCATCTATAGGACTTGAGGTAAGTTTCTTACAGGAACAGGAACAGCTCAGAGGCAGCTGCACCACGGAATGCCCACACCAGCATTGAACTCCATGCATGATTTGTATGCAGCTGGATAATCACAGAACATCTCTGCTAGGCAGCTCTCCTAGTCTGGGCCTCGTCCAGGCATCTTGGTTGTATCTTTTCCTCAGCAGGTCTCACTGTTTCTACAAACTTGGGCATGGGAGTGCCTAGTGCAACTGGCCGGTTTTAGAGACTTCCTGAGGCTTCTGAGTTGTTTGTTTCTTGAATATTAAGGAAACCTACTTTAGAATGCTCTGAGTTTTGACAAGCTTTAATTTAGGACTTTCTGAGTCCTAAGGAGCTTTTGTAAAAGATGGATGCTTTGACTGGGAGGAAATTGCTGCATACTATTCCACCCCTTCCTCTGGCTATTTTATTCTTTCCATCTCCTCTACCAACCCTGTTCCCTGTACTGCAGAGGGCTGATGTACCTGTCTGTCTAAGGCTAAGCATTAGGCCATTATGTCACAGAAATAGTTACTGGAGCTTCACTAGTGGTTATGAATCTCTGTGATATGAGATCTATTCCAAATAAGTGATAGTTGGTCTTGGCAAGCTAAGTGGATGCTAAAAATAAATGTTAGGAAGGACTAAGCAGTATGAAAAAATCTTCTCAATTTTATTGAATTTTTTTTTTCTTTTTTGGTTTGTCGAGACAGGGTTTCTCTGTGTAGCTTTGCGCCTTTCCTGGAACTCGCTCTGTAGACCAGGCTGGCCTCGAACTCACAGAGATCCACCTGGCTCTGCCTCCCTAGTGCTGGGATTAAAGGCGTGCGCCACTACCGCCCGGCTGAATTTTTTTTAATCAAATAAGAACATTGGGTATATTGGCATGAATGGGAGGGGGGATACTAACATATTTAGTTGTTGTTTTTAATCCATAGTCTTTATCCCTACCATGGGATTTACTAGTTTCTGAAACTGTATCCCAGGCCAAGGTCCCTGATAAATTCATCTTTTTTTTTCTTTTCTTTTTTTCTTTCTTTCTTTCTTTTTTTTTTTGCTATCAGATAAACAAAGTCTGATCTGGTCTAGTGAACTGAGCATAAAACACTGCTTTTGGTATTTTAATGGTTATTTTTATGATACTGTTTCCTGTTTACTATCCTACTATTTCTGTGGTGCCCATGTGTTTAGGTCCCAAGAAGGGCTCCTTGGCATGAATCTAATCTGTACTCTACTCTGCTTCCATCCTGTCAACTGTAAGATAGCATCTCCATCTCATTGTCTCCTACATAAGATTATTCTCTGAGAAGCTACCTCCAGTCATGCTGGAATTATTAACTGGCTTGAACTTGTGTGAGTAACCATAGCTGCTCTGGGTTTGTGCTTGAAACAGACAGCCCTCGTCCTATACTCCAGCTTTTATATTATACCCACACAACTTTTGTGATGTTTCCTTAGTTTTAAGGTGCCTATGGGTATATGTGTGAGTGGTACGCATGCCTCATCTGTGGATAAGGGCTCACAGTCATGTATTCTCAACACTTTAAATACTTCCATGTTCCTGAGTTAACCACAACCCACTGTGGGGAAGGGAAAGGGGTAAACTTCTTTGGCCAGGGTTGATGACCTCACAAATTAGTGGCTATAAATACAAGTATTTAGAAGAGAATTTGACACCATGATCATTTAACAAAACAACATTAAATCTACTGACCAGGACCTATGACCTCCCCGGGCTTTGACAAGAGTTACAGTACCAGGCATAAAATGCTTCTGTGGCCTCAGATCTAGTCACGAAGCAGTGGTTACCCCCATAGTCATGCCACGGTCATCGTGGCACCAGTGGACACATCTTGCCAGATAAGTCAGTATTGAAACACAAGGTCCAGTGCTACATGGGACTATTGATATCTTTTCTTCCCCATCAGCCTGCATAACATCTTGCAGTACTAGGAAGTCATTTCTCTATGTCTTAATGCCAAAGTACATGGTGTCTTCAGCAAGAAGGTCTTACTATCTAGTTGAAATGGCAACTAAGAGTTATAGCAATCATTTGTATTGTTTTGAATGCCTCTGGGGCCTCCCTAATCAACAGGTAGTAGGAAGGTAAGCCATTTCTGGCCCTGAGATTTCCATATAATAATGGTATCTTCTGGGAGCAGCACTGTCCAAACATAAAGGATATGTATGTTCAAGCTCATTTAAAAATATATTTTTAATTAGCTTACAAATTAGTGAGATTTTATAAGGCTCCATTATATAGCCTTAGTTTTGATTATCCCTTATTTTCTCTTTTTTTTCCATCACCCTATCCTGATACACATTTAAACTTTTAACCTGAAATGTTCCTATGCCCACCCCCATCCTTTCATGTCATATGTTTTCTACTTGTCCTTATTAGAATTATTACTTAGGTTGCAAGATCATGGGTTTCCATATAGCTTTTTACTTACATGCTTCATTTTGACTAACCTTTCATACATTCCCTTGTTTCCTGATCTGATCCTCCAACCACACTCACTGGTTCAACCTCTCTGCTACCAGAATCTCTCCTTCTATTAGTCAGGGTTCTCTAGAGTAACAGAGCATATAGCACAGATCTCTCTCTGTCTCTCTCTCTGTCTCTCTCTCTCTCTCTGTCTCTCTCTCTCTCTCTCTCTCTCTCTCTCTCTCTCTCCTTCTTTCTCTCTCTCTTTCTTCTCCTTCTCCTTCTCCCCCTCTTTCCATCTCTCTCTCTATATAGTATAATACCCCAAAATAGAAAATCAACATAGCCAAAGCTGACTTCAATGAATATAGGAAAGGAATCATCTGGGGTGTCCTCATGTTCAGTAAAACTACTGAAGAAAATGAAGAGCTCAGTGGTCTATCATGTCTGCTAGGCAGCAGCAACCAGCCAGCAGTGATGTCCTGTGTAGGTTCCTGGAACAGCAGACTGCAGTGCTAATTTAACAGAAGCCGTGAGAAACGTGTTGTCCAACCTTCCACCCAACTGACTCAATCCATGTTATTTATATTTCGGAGTATGTATTGATGGTGAAATTTTCACAGAATAAGTTGAATATGTATGTAAAATTGTATCAAACAGGTATATTTTTATTTGCTGTTGGTACTTGTGTGTGTGTGTGTGTGTGTGTATATGTGTGTGTGTGTGTGTGTGTGTGTGTGTGTGTGTGTGTGTGTGTGTGTGTGTAATGGTATCTTTATATAGTCTCAATATACAGACATTTTCTGAGGTCTACCTACTGTGAATTTTCCCTTCTAAGAACACATCCAGATCATCTATCTGACCATTCCCTATAACCCTTTGCTTCCTCTGCAGAGTGAAGATGAGATCTGATGGACTTCAGTCATACAGAGCTTCTTTAGGAGTATGAGTTCTTCTCAGATGTAAAAAAAACCTTGCACTGAACCATATCATCATTGGTTCTCTGTTTCAAATAAATTTCCGTTTTTTGTTTTTTTTTTTAAATCATTTTTTCTTATGTTTCACATTACCACTCTAACCGAGATGAACCAACATCATTGAAGGCTTTGGGAGACTGACAAATTGTTAGTCTTCCAAATTCTCTTTGCTTCTTGTTCAGAGTTTCATTATAATCCTTAAGATATATCAACTGTTCACTATGATAATTTCAGGCAGTATGAGCTACAGCCATGGAAACCAAATGAAGTCTTCATTCTGAAATTTCAGTAACATTGCATCCTTGTAAGATACACACATACACACATGCACACACAAAAACACTCTGATATTTCAGATCTGGGTCTATAGTAAATATTTATTAAAAGTTCACAAGTCAGCCGGGCATCAGTGGTGCATGCCTTTAATCTCAGCACTTGGGAGGCAGAGCCAGGCTGATCTCTGTGAGTTCGAGGTCAGCCTGGTCTACAAAGTGAGATGCAGGACAGATACCAAAACCACATAGAGAAACCCTGTCTCGAAAAACCAAAATAAATAAATAAATAAAGTTCACAAATTTCCTTTACTTTGAATGCAATAGAGTAGATCTGAGGATGCTTTTGTTAGAAGCAGACCTTCTTCAAAACATGTGTTTCAAGACGTACTGATACTGTCTTTCAATTCCAATATGAAGGTGTGGCTGATGTTGCTTGCTCTCTGGGGAATAAAGATGGGCACAGCCAGTACAGTATAGTGACTTATCAAGGCTCTGAATCTTTCTCTGGAGAAAATTGGCCATCATTCTTAGGCTAACTTCTGCTTGCATACATAGTGATATATATCAAGTATAATCTTCTAGAAGGTACAGGGCAGGTTCTGATTCATTAACTCCTGTCAATTTCTAAAATTTCAAGCATGGAGTATAGTACAGGATGGGTGCCAGGAATGAAAACCAATACATTTACTGGAATATTAAGCTAGTGCACTTTTGATGAGCTCTTTATGAAGCTGAAATAAAATCCAATGTGTTTCCTATTCTCTTGAGTTTCCTCACTGTAAGTGTCTTAGTAAGGGTTTTAATTGCTGTGAAGAGACACCATGACTACAGTAAATTTTATAAAGGAAAGCATTTGGGTGACTTACAATTTCAGAGGTTTAGTCTATTATCATCACGTTCAGAAACATGGTGGTTTGCATGAAGCCATAGTGCTGGTGTTCTACATCTTGATCCACAGGCAACAGGAAGTGAACTGAACACCGAGCATGGCTTGAACATATATGAGACCTGAAAGCCCCCCACAGTGACAAACTTCCTCCATGAAGCCATACCTATTTCAACAAAGGCCCACCTCCTAATAGTGGTACTTCCTATCAGCTATGGGGTCCAATTACATTCAAACTATCTCTGTAAGTCACAGAGTGAAGTCGCTGTAAGTAGAAGCTAAATACAATATTGAGTATTTTCAGTGTTTTGCTCCACAGACAAGGTTCTGGCCACTGACAGTGATTTTGTACTTTTGTATATGTTGGAGGTTTTTATAATGACATGAATTCTTTGGGAGGACACAGTTTGAGGATGGTCTGATATCATTTCAGGAATCAAGAGTACTACCTAGGGTCAGTGCAGGACAATCATAGGATGTGCTGCCATCTGAAATTTCCTGGCCATAATTTGTTCGTATGTGAAATGGAATTAACACCACTGTCCACATGTCATCCCTCAAAGAACTAAAGGAACTTGCAACGGCCTAACTGAATGCTTGATAGCAACAGAATGAAAAGTAGTGAATTTATTATATGCATTGCTATCAATATCCATAGAGACACAGAATCACGAGACTGAGTAAAAGAAAATCCTGGAAATATGCATTATAACCCCTGCTGCAGAGGTGACAAATGGATTTCCTTTAACATCATGAATACTACAAAACTTACAATTAATCCAATCAACATAGCACAAGCTTATTCACTGCAAATAATTTCAAAGAGGATTAGAGAGGCTCTTGAGAGGCTTCATGTTTAGAAAAGCTATTAAAGCAAATGAGGGCCTTGAGGTCATGGGCATGTGCACTAGGCAGCACCCACTCTTCAGCCCTGGTAGTCATGACAGTGCCTGGAAGGACAGACTCAAAGTAAGAACAGCTGGCCTCTTCCACCAACCCTGACTTGATCTCTGAAGCTCAGAAGCTCTCAGTTAACACTAGTCAAGCTATGTATAATGTAAATCAAATCTAAGAATTTAAGACAGAGTAGTTTAAAACAATTGCCCTAGTTCCTGAATTCACAACTTTCTTAATCAGGAAAGTTCTCTTACATAAATATTTCAGAGTCACCACTTATAGCTAGAACCTTCCTGGAGAAATTCTCTTTTTCAAATAGAACAACTTCATTTAATAGCTTTTAAACATGCCCCCCAAATGACAATTCTCTGTTGCCAGCTTACCTAGCATATTTGTTACGTCTATCAATGTTATGTCAAATACCTAAAAGAACAACTTAAAGAAGAAAAAGCTTATTTTGTCTAACATTTAAGAAGGTACAATCATCATGAAAGGGACTTTCGGAGATGGAAGCATGAGATTCTGGTCATACAGAATTTCCAGTTAGAAACCAGGAAATGATGAATTCTGGTACTCAACTTATTAATCACCCTTTCTATTTCTCTGGGTATCCCATGTACACGATGGTTCTACTCTCACCCTGAAAGAGCATATCTTCCTTTCTGGGCTAAAGTGCTTTGCAAACACTTTCAAAGACTCACCAAGGTCTCCTATGGGATTTCAAGTCAAGTTAAGTTACCACAAAGATTATCTGCACATCTGGCTTTCTTGTGGAATATTTAGCCTCCCCCATTTTAAACCTTCAGTGTACTGGTTGAATCAACTTCTGTCTTCTCTCATCAGAATGCTCTCCTTCCCCTCACCCCAATCTCATGCACAGACACTTAAATCTTCAGTTCTTTCAATTATTGACTCTTCTCATGTGAATTGTGAGGGAGCCTTTATTATGTGTCAAAATTCACTATCCTATCCAACAATCTTGATACTAGTAGCCTATTAATTACTGTCCAAAATACTTGTTCTTCATATCAAATCCTAACTTTCTAATTTTTAAAAAATTTTACTGATTTTCATAATTGTGGTTTGTGAATAAAAGAGACATTTCTATTAACTACTCCTCAAACCAGAATAAAAGGCTAACATAGCTATTCTAAGCAATGTAAGCAGAGTGATCTCACCATTTATGTAGGGCCTGATGATGACCTTTGCACGCTATGATTGTGGGAAGCAAGATGACTTGATTTCCTGTTTCTACAGTAAATGTTTGTAAGACTATCTTAAAGCAAAAAGGCTTCCCACCCCTTTTTCCTTTCCAATTTTCTTTCCTGTATTCGCCTTTAGACCAGTATCTCCAAGGTGAATGACTCCATGTTGGAAATACTTATATAGTGGTGGTCAGTTTTGGACTATTAAATACATATCCACTTTAAACTTGATTCATTTTTATGCTATACATATAATTTTTTTCCTACATACATACATGTGTATGATGTGCATGTCTGTACCTGCAGAAACCAGCAGATGGCTTTGAATCCCCTGGAAATAAAGTTGTAGGTATTGTGGGTGTTGGGAACTGAACTGAACTGAACTGTCTTCTGCAAGAGCAACAAGTATTCTTTAACACTGAGCCATCTCTTCAGGCCCAGCATATCTATTTTAAAAGATGAATTTCTCATCTGGACACTAGTCGGTAATGTCACTGCTTCCAAATAGTCAAAACTATTTATCCTAGGAAATGAGATTTTCCTAACAAGTATTCAGTGTGTGGAAGAATTCTCTTGACACTTCTGGAAAATTGGTCAGTGGCTGTTTTATTAGGTGTCATTGCTATATCATCTACCATTTTAGAAATTGTTATTATACAAAAGCCTCCTAACCACAGGTGCCTCCCTCTCAAGTAAATTAATATGTTGGTTTTTGTTGTTGTTCATTTTTTAAATCAAGTACAGTCTTTGAAATCTATCCCTTTTGATATTATTTACAGATTCATGAAGATGTTTCTTTTCTAAATCACACTCAGAAATGTTCTCTGAGCCAGATATGGTAGCATACAACTTTAATTCTAACATTCAGAAGGCAGAGGCAGGCAGATCTCTGTTGGTTTGACACCAGCCTGGTCTGCATGTGAGTTTCCAGCCTTCTAGGGATGCATAATGTGACCCTGTCTCAAATAAAAGCAATAACAATTGAAAGAAAAAAAACCAGAAAGATTCTCAGAACTGTTCATTGTATCCCTATTTTGAGTCTTCTCATCTGTAGGTAGCATCGCCCTTTATCAAGTCCTCAAAGTAAAGTACTTTTGTGGCTTTGTAAACTTTCTCTTAATTGACCAACGAGTTTCTTAAATCACGTTAAACTGGGCATGTCCAAAGCTAAAGTTGTCATCTTCCTCCAAAGTTTTTCCTCTTACACTATACCTATTCTACTAAGGGCATCACTATCTATGCATAATTTGGTATGCATGTTTTTAATTAATGTAGAATGTCACTTTTTCTGTTGACACCTGTATTAGGGTTTCTATTGCTATGGTGAAACACCATGACCAAACAACTTGGGGAAAAAAGGGATTTATTTTACCTTATTCTTCCAGATAGCAATCTATCACTGAGGGAATTGAGGACAAAAACTCAAACACGTAGGAATGTAGATGCAAGAGCTGATGAAAAGGCTATGAAGGAATGCTGCTTACTAGCTTGCTCCTCATGGACTCCTCAGACTGCTTTCTTATAGAACCCAGGACCACCAGCCCAGGAATGACTCCACCCACACTGGGCTGAGCTCTCCTATATCTATCACTAATCAAGAAAAGGCCCCACAGGCTTGCCTACAGCCTGAGCTTATGCACACATTTTCACAATTAAGGTTCTGTCCTTTCTTATGATTCTAGTTTGTGTCAAGTTGAAAAACAAACAAACAAAAAAAACTAGCCAGGGCAACACCCCAACTGGTAACTCAAACTGTGGCACATTGTTTGATTCTTTTATCATGTGTATACGCCAAACTACTACCCTTCCAGTTATCACCTGATTCTGCACGCCTAGCTGTAAGGTCCAGAAATATAGGAATAAGATAGGAATATAGAAATATGCTTAAGAAATGGAAACTGACAGCCTTTAGCTTGGCTGGCAAAAAAAGGATTAACCTTTAACTGCCTTCAATGTTTTACGATGGGCTGCTGACAACCCAAATGTCAGTGTTCTTTTACTAAAGACTGCCCTTTGCAACTCTGGGGTTAGCTAATTTTGATAACCCCTACCACTCACTACCAAAACCCAAGTTCACTTTTAATGAGTTCTCTGGGACAGCCCACCTTGCCTTGTTTCCTATCCGCCCCCAACCTATGGGAACCCAGCTATGTCAGGAGAAATTAATTGCAGGTTTGGACAAACATCAATTAACTGAGTCAAGAAGGGCTGCAGAGATATACAAATATTATTTAGCTAAAATCCCCTAAAACCTTGTAAATGGAAAAATTGTAAAAACCTAGAACAATTTGTCTCTAAAAGTTTAACTTCAAAATTTTAAAAATTCCTTTGTCTATGTCTAATGCTTTACTATAAAAAATAGGCTCATAGACCCCCCTCCAACTGCCACAGCCTCAGAATATTGAAAACTGGCTCTGGTCTCAGCTAGCTGATAAGTTTTTGTGCCCTGCAATGAGATTTCCATTCTTTCAGGGGTGGGGAGTGTTGGAATAAAATCTGCTTCTGGTTTAATAGACTTTGGTGGTTTGTCGTCCATTATTGTGTGACCCCAGACCCAACATAGTTTCTATATTGTCGTGGGTCTCCATAAAAAAAAAAGTGTTCCACGAAGTGGATTTCTGGATCTCTCTCTTCCTCCCTACACTGTAGCTTCTAATGTGACTGACAAGTGTGTATATCACCATTGAAGGTTCAGTCATATGTTTGCAGCACAGTTGAATGTCATTCCTTTCTCTTTTTAAGATTTTAAAAGAAGCTTATGTTCCTTAAAAATGTACATTGCAGGAAACAAAAGCCAAGGGGACAAGAACTAAGTCATCTAATTGCAAGTATGAAGGAAAATCCCCCAAAGGAAGCTATGTCTGGATGTGAACAAAAAAACTCCTGGAAGAAAATTTTGTATCTACAGAGACTGATGGACCAATTGGAACTTCTGCACTGTGGAAAGATTGGAGTTTTGTAGGTTCAGAGACTAATTAGTTTCTGTTGGGCTCATTTTAGCCTTCTGCAACAGCCATCCCTTGCTCCACTCTGTATCTGAACTAACACCTAGTGATAATAAATAAAGACCACTGAGAAGCTAGTAACTCTGGAGAACATGAGATTTCACCAATCAGATGGTCGCCAGATAACAGTTTAGGACTATATCAAAGCTTTGCCCATCTCAGTGTATCTGCTGAACTCACCAATGCATTTTAAACTTGCCTGGATTTATGGCTTTCTTGGTTTTCTAAAACTCGAAAAACTTGATGAAACTGCTTCCATGTTGGAACTTGGGATTTGGATAACTGAAGTCTGTGTTCCTGGGCCCTAGAAATGGCTCCAGGATAAACCTCTCTTTACCTGTAAGATGAGAGCTGTGTTTTTATGACACTAGCAGCTCAGTTTGATGTGTCCTTATAGACCCTGCACATTGTGTTTTGTCCCAGCCCCCAACCTCAGCAGGCACCCCCTGCTAGCCCAAGGGCAGCTCCTGCCAGGAAACTGAATAGTCCACACCTCTCCTCCTCCAGATCCACCCTCAGTCTCATCCCCAGCCCTGTAGCAGAAAACCTTCTGCCTTCTCCTTCTCCTCTGTCCTCATCCCCAACAGATCACAAAGATCTTCTCCCCAAAACTTCCTTTCCAAGACTCATCCTATTATTCCAGCCCCAACACCAGCAGGCATTCCCTGTGAACACACCAGCCTAGTAAGCCAGGGAAACAGGTAAGCACACTGAAGACCTCCACCACCCCCTCTTCCCTTCCCAATCCAATCCCCCAGTCTCATCCCTATCTCTGTAACAAAGCCCAGCTGCAGTCTCCCTTGCATGTCCCACCTCCCAGGCTACATTTCCTCTGGATCCAGCAGAGCATCCCCTCCCAACTTCCCTTGCACCATTCCTGGCTTTCCTCCAGCCCCTCCTCCAGCTGGTGCCCCTGCTGACTCACAGACCTCACAGGCCAGAAAACCAGGTCAACTGACTGCAGATCTTCTCTTCTCCCTCTCTTCTCCCAGATCCAATCTCCAGTCTCATCCTCAGCTCTGCAGCAGGAACAACTGCAGCAGCCTTCCCTGCACCCCAGTTCCCATCTCCTGTGGATCCCACAGATCTTCCCTTTCTAACCTTCCTGCCTTAAACTTGTTGCCTTGTCCCAGCTCATTCTTTGCTTATGACTAAGACACACTCCCTTCCTACCAGGAGCGATTCCAAGTATTGTGGAAAGATGGTTTCCAAGGTTGACTCCTTGCCAAACTGAGTTTCAGAAGAGTAAGTCTGATTAGGGAAGGAAGCATGCGCACACATGAATAGGGGTTATTGCTCAACCTGCATTCACGCCCTGGTGGAAATGGACTTTCAGTTTCAGTAGCTCCGGATGGTAGGAGAGAAGCACCATGGCTGGTGAGTTTTCCCTGTTGTTAAAGGGGCTAATTTGGTGACTGACTCGTTTGGAAGGGGGCTTTTCTGGAAGCTATCAGCAGCTTCTGCAGATATTTACTTGAGCTGAATCTGGGGAAAGGGAAGACTGTGTGGAAGAAATTTGCACAGAAGATTCTTAAAGCCACAGAAAGCAAAGGCCAGGGCCTGAGAGGAAATGGTGCTTTACTTGCATCCTGTGCCATTTTTCAATCTTAACTATTTTGTGTCCCTAGTCTGACAGAGGGAACCAGATAACTCACAGAGATGTAGGCTGCAAAGGAGAATGGTTTGTCGTCATTTCTTTGTTTTAGTCTTCTGATTTGAGAACATGTGAAACCAGGATGAGGCTTCATGCTTCTTGAGCTCTAACAGAAAGACAGTAACTTGGTACCCCTGCCTCCCCTTATATGCTCCTGTGTAATGCTGAGGGAAAACAGAGAACAGAGATAGCAAAAAGAAAGGGATAAGGGATGTATGTGAAGGAGACATTTTACTGATTCAGTCTGAAAGAGGCTATGCCCTCTTTACAACATGAAAGGGACACGTGGTTGTTTTCTTGACCTGAAAAATCCTTTTGCCTTAAACAGACAACATCCTCAAGGCAAAGAGGAAGCAGTTCATCCGTTCAGTGGGTCCAGAGACAATAAATGGCTTGCTGGATGAACTTTTGGAGAAGAAAGTGCTGAACCAGGGAGAGATGGAGAGAATAAAAGCTGTAAATGCCACTGTTATGGACAAGGCACGGGAACTGTGTGATTCTGTCACTAAAAAGGGGCCTCTGGCATGCCAAATCTTTATCACTTACATTTGTAATGAAGACGTCTACCTGGCAGGAGTTCTGGAGCTTGACTTGGGTAAGAACCTGTATGTCAGACTAAATTGAGAGTGCATTTTTATAACCAATATCTGAGTCACATGTTCCTTATGCGGTTTGAAGATAACTCCCTCACCTCAGACTCCAAAGTCCATTTTTGTGTCCCTGACCCTATCATATCTTCTGTCTCTGTTCCTCCTGTTTCTTCTGCCTGGTCTCATGTAGCTCATATTGGCCCCCAACTGGCTGTATAACCAAGATTACCTTTGAATGGTGAATTAATCGCTTTTGCCTCTCTTCAGGTTCACCAGCTGAAAATTCCATCGGGACAGATAATTTCCAGGGAGGACTTCCTTCTTCCTCAGGTAGACCCTAATCTTTTTGGCTATTATCTTCATGGGGTAAACCTAAGTTGAGGGGATATGAGTAACTCCCAATCATTGATTCTATGATTTTCCTCCTTCTATTCTCTACATATCTCGCTCAAGCAAAAGCAGTTCTCATGGCTTCACCACCCATATTTATAGTAAAGCTTTCGGAATTTGTCCCTCAAGTCTTAAGTCCCTAGCTGGGTACCAAACCTTACATTCAAGTGCCTAGTGCACATATTCCCGTCTCCTCTGGACATGAGTTTCTAACTCCGCCTCAGACAAGCTTCTCAATCTTCCCCATCCTACTTCCCTTCAGTGTTCTCTGCCTTTGCTAAAGCTGTCCTCAACAGCCGTTGTTCAAATGAGAAACCCAAGATACAGTCTTAGCTCTTCTTTTCCTCTCCTACCAACTTTCAGTGTGTGACTAAGTTTTAATGGGTTCCCTCTCAAGTCCTCCAGCACTTTATCACACACCTGTTATTTATAGCATACAGTAATTGCCAATCATTACTCTCTCTACAATTATCTATGTCAGCTATAATTTTCTTGGTCATTAGAAAAATAGTTATCACATGCCACTTGTACTCTAGACATTGTTCTATAAAATCTTCAAGAATAATAAGCATGAAAAATGATAGTTTTGATTGAATTGAACTTGAACGAATAAATATTACATGAATATTTATTTAATAGTATTTTTATCACTGAATTAAAGCTACCAATATTTTAAGCATAGCAATGATGATGCAAACCTTTATTAAGATACTATGGAGCTCAGTTAGAAAGTCAATATTCATAGTGTTTCTTACATGATAGAAGGTTGTTCCTTATTCGAGAAGATTATAAAAGTCATTCTCAATGAACAAGCAGCTCTCTTTGTTAGCATTTCTGGCACCACCTGGCCTATCCCCAAGGCCCCCAGCTGCAGCCACTAAGTATACCTACTAAGTATACCTCTGGCATGCATGTGTTGTCAGTATTCAGGCAGATGCCTAGCCATCCTAGGATACTATGGCCATACCTCACTACATAATCTTGGTGGTTGCACTGAGTGGCTCCAGAGTCTCTATGTGCATGCCCTGAACTCCCTTTAAAAGCAAGCGCTGCCCATTCCCCCTCCCTTTTTCTGCACCACTTCTCTCTCAGAGGCAGGTCTCCAGGAATCCCCTCTCTCCCCAACCCTTTCAATAAACCTTCAACGTGGGTTTGTTGCATGGTGTGGTTCGTTCTCACCACCACTAAACTACAACACTCTTCCGTGCCAGAGATATTCCACACTGTCTCACATACCTACAATAGACCAAACTAGCAGAACTGTGTTTCCAGCCGTCCTGTGAGAGACATTGGAAAGGATGTGAGAAGATTGTGGGAGACTTTTTAAACTTAGCTTAGATGCATCACACACCAAACACATGTGTGTCTTCTATTGCTTACAACTGATCATTCAGACAATATGTTCTGAAATGCTGATAACAAGGATATCTTAGTGGCACAGGGTGAGTGTATCTTATAGACAGATTCTGAGAGTGTACAATAAACCTTTACTGGAAAAAAAAAGCAAAAATAAGCTTAATTTACACAATATTAGAGCTACCACAGGAAACATTTATGTCCTGAATGACAGAAACCACATTAATATTTCAGTGGTCTTCACTGAAATGGCACCACCACCTTTTGGAAGTTGATGATCCACACACACCAGATCCATTGCTAATAATGTTAGTTTTGAATAAGCTCATGTCTTTCTTAGGAAATGACTAGTGTTGCATGTTAGAAGAGAGGTTTTCCACCATAGTTCTTAAATAATTTCATCCACAATACAATGCTTCCTCTCAAGTCAGAAAGACAAGTATTTAAAAAAAACACCCAATTATTCTACTGGATCTATTAATGATAATTAATCCACATGTTTTATTCTATATTTCATGTAGTGTGACATTCCTATATACTTGAATACTTTATTCAATTACTTAAAAATACCTCTAATATAAATAAATATTTGTTTAATTTGTTGTTGCTTTATACTTATTTGTGCAGAAGCAAGACATCTTTTTCCAATTAATGAATATTTTCCATATTTTTCCAGTATATTCTTTCTAAGTAGTTTATGTTCTTTTCTACATTCAACACATTTTGATGACTTGGCCCAACTTGCTAAACATACAATTTATCTAACACCTTTTAAAATTAATCAAAATATCCTCATTTTAATTGCTTCATTTCTGTTCTCTAAGTACCTAAATAAATTATTTCTATTTTGAAAACATGCCAAGTGTATATCAAATTATTTAGAAGTGCATCACCTGATTTGAAGATATTGAAGCTGGGATCCAATAGGAGCTCCAGGAGCTCATAGAAACTATTGTGAAAGCACTCCCTCATAAGTTTGTGCAAACAATAATGAGTGATATCACAAAATTTGCACATTAATTTTAGCACTTACATGCTACTTCACGTTCATTCTAGTAAATATATTCAAAGTTGTTCCTTCTTTGGTTAATGTACACATGCAATAGAAAGTGATCCTGAGGGAGAGGATGAGAATCATTTCTAAAAAGTACTTGATGTGATGGCTACTATTGTACACACGTTAAAAGAAAATAGGTAAGCATGTGTTTTTTTTTAATTTTTCAATGGAATTAAATAAGATATATATTTTCTACCTCCCCCTGCATGAAATTTCATCTTAGGCTTCAAATACTTTATAAAATAAATTAAAAATCTTAGCCGGGCGGTGGTGGCGCACACCTTTAATCCCAGCACTCGGGAGGCAGAGCCAGGCGGATCTCTGTGAGTTCGAGGCCAGCCTGGGCTACCAAGTGAGTCCCAGGAAAGGCGCAAAGCTACACAGAGAAACCCTGTCTCGAAAAACCAAAAAAAAAAAAAAAAAAAAAAAAAAAAAAAAATCTTAATACTCTGTGCTTTGTTCTTATCTAAAATATTTGTCAAAATACTGATCACAAGACGGATCCTAGATCACACCACTGGGCATCTCTGGCTTGCAATCTGCCCATTAATGATGGTGTGTATCTCGTTCTACAGTGTGGTAATGAACCCAGTGTTGTCCTCACCTGTCTTCACACATAGATAAGACTGTAAGAGACTTGATGTGAGAGTTCCAGACTTCAATACATCCATGGTATTTTTGTCTTTTACAGAAACAAAGCAAGAACAGAACAAAGAAGGCGGCACACTCCCAGGACCAAGTGGGACCATCAAGTTATGCTCCTTAGAAAAAGCCCAGAGGATACGGGAAGAAAACCCTTCAGAGGTGCTGTGCACAGAATCTGGGATGGAGTGAGCTGAGGAATACTGAGGCCATCCTGAAGGGCAGTGCTTCTTTGTCACAGCCATTTTCATTGAAATGTCCCAGAGACTCCATGAGCCACTTTGCCTTACATAAAAGTTCCCTACCCCCTAGAATCTCAGGTTTAATTTGGAGTTTTACAAATTTGGTCCAATTCCTTGGTATACCATAACAGCAATAGCAAAATCAGTGGCTAACATTAGATACTTACTGTGAGTCAAATATTACTCCACATACTTTATATTAACCTTCAAAATGACCCATATTAGAGATTCAGAAACTGAATCAGGTATGAGTCAATATTATGTCTACAGTCAGTAAAAAAATTGGAGGAATCGGTTTTACAATTTACAGATACCTAGCTATGTTTTTCAAAATTTTACTTTCAAAATTAAGGGTAGATGCTCAGAGACCATGTGGAAGTTTGGAAATTTTATTAACACCTTGACTTAACAATCAATTCGCTTCCTGTTCTTAACCTAATCCTCATAATGTTGTTTTCTTGAAAGAATTAAGAGGAGGAAACTAGGAACTACCATAAGCACATAAAGTAGACATTGAATTAAATAAGGCTTTTCATTCAATCTGCCCTTCATACAGATTTATCCAATAATGAATAGATCCACTCGTACACGTCTTGCCCTCATTATCTGCAACACAGAGTTTGAATACCTTCCTAGGAGGGATGGAGCTGATGTGGACCTCAGAGAAATGAGGTTGCTGCTGCAGGATCTGGGATATACTGTGAAAGAGAAAGAAAATCTCACAGCTCAGGTAGTATTGCTCATAATATGAAAACAATGTCCATATCTTTCAAACCCCTAGATAATGCTGGAAAACATGTTATAGTAGCAGAAAACTTAACTCTTGCTGTATAATGCTGGAAAACATGTTATAATAGCAGAAAACTTAAGTCTTGCTAGATAATGCTGGAAAACATGTTATAGTAGCAGAAGTTTGTAATGAAGATATCCTTTGGTGAGGAGCCACTGAGTATTACACATGCCTGTCAAGTGCTAAATGCTTTAGCCAGTCTCCTGTAACATCTAACTGAAAAATATTTCTACCAGTTGAATGATCTCAGGATGGCTTCCTATAATCTTTATAGCCTTGATTTTCATAAAATTGGAAATTAGAAATTTTCTTTTCTGTGTCACTCATTTTCATTGAATTATTCAAGGACTCCCTTTACTGTTTCTAGTGACATCTCACAGTGTAATGATAGTTCATCTAAAATCACTGATCTGGTCTCTTACAGGAGATGACTGAAGAGGTAAAGGAATTTGCTGACTGCCCAGAGCACAAGACTTCTGACAGTACTTTCCTTGTATTCATGTCTCATGGTATCCAGGAAGGAATATGTGGGAAGACATACTCTGATAAAGTACCAGATGTTTTAAAAGTCGACACTATCTTTCGAATGATGAACACTTTGAAGTGTCCAAGTTTAAAAGACAAGCCCAAAGTTATCATCATTCAGGCCTGCCGTGGGGGTGAGTTCTGATGGTTTAAATTAACAGAACATTAACAGTCTGACTTTATCATTTATATGTAGACAGTACTTTCCAGTGTTTTTGGGTTGATATGTAAATATCAAACATCTGTTTTACTACACAGTTAATGATGCATTCTGTAGATGTATTTCAAGTTGGTAGATATTTGCTTCATTTTCCACTAGAGAATATCACTATCAACAGTCAGTGAATACATATTGATCTTTGGATGTTATTGGAGTCCATTTAAAGATTAAGAGAGAAAAGAATCATTGAAACATTCCTATAAAACACACACACATATATACATACATATATATTTACATTCACATATGTGTATGTACTCACTTTCATATATATAGATGACTAAAAGCCAACTAATATGTTTATAAATAGAGTTTAATAAATATTTCAAGGAAACAGTAATTCCCTTGGAAATTGTTAGTAACATAAAACGAATTTTGTCTTTCTAGAGAACCGAGGAGTGGTGTTGGTAAAAGATTCAGTAGAAGACACTGGAAAGAAATTCCTAGTGGATGCGGACTTGGAAGATGATGGAATTAAGAAAGCCCACATAGAGAAGGATTTTATTGCTTTCTGCTCTTCAACACCAGGTAAAGAATTTTTTTATGTAATCTCCAGACATAGTCTACTTCTACACCGGTTAGTTCATGCCTTAATGTATATCTCACTCCATTATTTTCCAGTGATAAAATATCATGGCTATTGATTCATTCTGGGCTCATAGGGCCTTGCTGAATGATTGACATTTGTCAGGATTATTGTTAAAGGGACTCCATACTTAGTATTACATAAGATGTTTAGTGACTTCATGTTCAATCCACCTTACCCACAGAGACAAATATACATATATTTTTTTCTGAATTAGTAAATTCTTCCATGGTGCATAATGTTTTTCCTAGAAATATGAAGGATAACAAAAAAATAAACAGATGAATATGCACCCTAAAGTTCATTAGAATCTGAAAGGTGCACACCATCGGGTTTAGTCAAGACACCAGTGTGCACAGGTATGAAGTGTTTCCAAAATCCTGATGATTAAGATATGGAGACAGGAAAATTAATCACTGGACCTCAGGTCCTCTGAGCCCAAGCCGGACAGGCGCCTGCAATCCCAGTGTTGCTATGAGTAGTTGAGAGGGTGGACACAGGACAACCTCCTGAAAACATGACCAGCTAACCTATGCCACATATTGGAGGCTAAGTGGGTTTAATGTGAGATGGTTTTATACATGAAAAGAGATATTAATAAATAATTCAGTTATATGCTAAACAGTAATAGTCAGACTACATCCTAATACTTCCAGTTATTACATCTTATGTTAAGTCTAGTTGTTTTATCTTGCCTGAGATTTCTTTGAATTTCTCACTATCATTTGCAAATGTACTTATTTTGGCAAGGATTGAATGAGACTATATGTGCGAAATATCAAACAATTCCTAAGAACTTAAACATTAAGTTATTCTTATTATCAAGGTTTTAATTTGTAATCTAACTCAAGTTACTTAATATATTAAGGATTAAATAAAACTCATTTGAGTCTTTCATTTCATGAATTTTCCATTTTGGGGGGCTATATTCTTTTACACAAATACAATCTTAAGGCCCTGTCTCTGATCAAATAGCTTACATTTTATGTTATTGACATTGGTTACAATCTCCAGACATAGTCTACTTCTACACTGGTTAGTTCATGCCTTAATGTATATCTCACTCCATTATTTTCCAATGATAAAATATCATGGCTATTGATTCATTCTGGGCTCATAGGGCCTTGCTGAATGATTGGCTACTGATAAATTCTGGCAGATGGAGAATCATCTTCCGAAATATACCAAGTAATAAGCCTATGAGACTCCATTGCATAGTTTCATACCATTGGTCACACAGACAGCCCTGATTACACTCAATGAATCATTAAAATGACAAAATGAGATGCACACAGGAAAGAGACATATGAGTGGAGAGGTATTGGCTTCTGAGTGGGAGGGAGTTAATTAGATGGCAGGATATAAACATAATCAGACACATTCTATATATGGAAGAAATTGTCAAAGAAAAAAATGTATTTAATTTAGAAATACCATCGCAAAATATCCATGTTTCCAACTTAAGAATGTAGCCAACTTTATTATTAGATTTAATTGTTTCTTTATATCATTTCTTCTCATCTTGCACACACATTCCTCTCTGGTTATAGTCTTCTTTGTCTTTCCATTCTTGCCATCCATGCTTCTGGTTTCTGTATCTCTTTCTTTTGCTGTCTTCACTCTTCTTTGTAAAAGGTTCAGACTCTACCTATCTTCCATACCCACTACCAAACGCAGCTGTAATTTGCCTGTGTAAACCTCAATCATATAGTTGGACCTTTTGGGAAATAATCTGGACTTAGTAGGACTTTTATGGAAAAAATTTGGCCTTTTATTCTCTTCACTGTCAAAGTATTTGCAGAGATACATGGTTCTACTCCTCATTTCCTTTACCTAGCTCAGATATTTGTGGTGTATTATCTATTTTTCAAATATCTCTTTTTGGTAGAAATATTTACTCCCAACTTATAATTAAGAATATTGCATTTCAAAATGTGCAACAGACTTAAGTCGGAGCCATTACATGGCATCCTGGACAAAAACACTCAGATACTTATTCTCCCAACCTAATCACTCCCTTACTCTAGGGCCTGCCTCTCTACTAGATTTTCAGCTTTTTGACATCAAGAACTACACCATCTGAAAATCTATGTTGTATTTAGCCACTGCCTTGAGTAAGAGGGAAGGGGCATTCATTAAATTTTTTATATATCCATTGAAAAATGGCAGGCAGTTTATAGGATACAATATAGATTCTATAGTGTGTCCAGCTAGAGTGGAAAGGTTAGAGTGGCCTATATGCAAGGTAAGGCCTGTCATAAGATTTGGAATATATGTTATTCACAGATAATGTCTCCTGGAGACATCCTGTCAAAGGCTCTCTTTTCATTGTGGAACTCATCAAACACATGAAAGAATATGCCTGGTCTTGTGACCTGGAGGACATTTTCAGAAAGGTAGGATTCTGAAGCTTTATCGATTCTACTTCCCTGGTCCTTGGCTATTTAGGCTGGTTCTAATGGGAAAGCTCTGGACATGTTTGTCTTGTAATAATGTAGTCCTTTCCAAAGAGCTTTGTACTATTGTTATTTCTTTTTGGTTAGTCAACAATACCTCCATGATGCCAATGTTTTATGATCAAAAGCTTTAAGAAATAATCATTTATATTAACTGCTATCCTGCCCCTATTAGAAAATGGAAAAGAATCTAATATCCCTGTGTCCATCATATTTGTAATTCTAGCAAGAGAACTTAATAGTCTGAGAGATAGTCTCATAGCTGTGGTTCTTACAAATGCCTTGAGTTATTGTTTTATTGTCATGCTAGTCAATGCAGTTTTTCCATCTCAAGTCAAGATTCTACTCTCTGAAAATAATGGCTGTAAACCTCCCTTTCTCTTCTAGGTTCGATTTTCATTTGAACAACCAAAATATAGTTTACAGATGCCCACCACTGAAAGGGTGACTTTGACAAAACGTTTCTACCTGTTCCCAGGACATTAAAATAAGTATGTTGTACCATTGTCTATGTACATTTGTGTGTGTGTGTGTGTGTGTGTGTGTGTGTGTGTGTGTGTGTGTGTGTGTGTGTGTGTGTGTACAGTAGGGAAAGGTTGGATAAAGACCACTGAAGGTTAATAAAACTGATCTGATCCTGGTCCAGGTTGCTAGGTCTGACATAATTATTGGGGAGAGTAGGGAAACACTGTAGGGATGCCATGTTTTCAGTTCTCTGCAAAGAGCGTTCTTTCTTAACATTCTCAGATTTGGATGGGTCTTTCTCAGGGTTAGTTGTTGTAAACCAAAATTTTGAGAGGCCTATGTTCTATGTGTTTAGATTTCATCTCAGTAGAATAAAACTTAAAAATCTCTTGGTTCTTCTCTGTTGTGAGTGTATATACCAGAATTACAGGGTGATATAATAATCTGCATATACCTCAGCAGAATACTTACGTTTGTATAATTTCTCTTCCCTTAGGAAGCCAAGAATTCCATCATTCTGTACCTGTTTTGAGAATCATGCAAATTAAAAGCAACATTTCTCTAAATGATGCAATAAATCTCAAACAAAACTGAAAGGCTACCCTGTTTATTGTTGCTGTTGCTATTGAATTTTCCTTTACTTGACTTGATGCTCAGAGCACAAGAGGAGGAACTTGTGTCTTTTTTATTGAATGAATTCTTTGATAATTTTATACATGTATAAAGTGCATTTTGATTACTATAACTTCATACCTTCTTTATTATTCTTTTATCGCTGTAATTACTCTCTCTCTACCATTCCCTTTCACAGACCCATGTGTCTTTTGTTTTTGAGACCTACCAAGTTTAACCAGGATCATCAGGGCAACCATGGGAAGGGACTGTCCACTGGAGCCTTGTAGATACCTTAGTGGAAATACAACTGCAGACAATTAACTGGCCCTCTCTGTAGTGAATTACTGTTCTGTCTATGACCTCGTAATACCACCCCTAGATATGTAGTAGGTAACTGACCTACCTACCTATGACCTTGAAGTACCTGCCCCTGGGGTATGGCTTGGGACTACCCTTAAGACTTGAGACACATGTAGGCTGGTTTCTTCTCTTGCTCATGGGCTGGATGGTGCAGACAGCATTAGACTGTACCTCAGCTTTCCAGGATTAAATCTCCTGTGCTGTAGTGAGTTTCCCCCCTAATAAATTCCTTTATCCTTTAAGCAGACTCCATGGATTTCTCACATTATCTGGCCCCCAATATGGGGCACAAACCCACAACCCTGTGATTAAGAGTCTCATGATCTACCAATTGAAGCTAATTTAGCAAACTATCAGCCTCAGATAAATTGCACTGTAATGGATTCTTGTATATTGATACAATTTAAACTATTTTTCTACTCCTATGTAAGATAATTTGTATATTGATACAAATTCAAAACTATAATTGTCATATTGTACACATGTTCCTACTTGTATTTAAAGTATTTTTTATATTGACGCAAATGGAAAATTATATTTACCATATTGTATGTATGTTCTACTTTTGTTTAGGATATTTTGTATATTGATACATATTAAGGATATTGTTATCATATTGCACTATACATTTCTACCTCCATTTAAGATATTTTGTGTTGTCACAATTTTGAGGTCATTGTCCTTACACTATACATCTGTTTATAGACTGTTTACCTTGATATGTGAAGCCTTAGTCCTTAGGTTATTTAGGTGGGTAAGACTTACAGATTAATAGTCATCTATAGTTATGTTAGTTGGGTTTTCCAGATTTACAGAAACTTATGTCAGATGGATAGGAATCTTTAAATGCTTCATAGACCTAGGGAACATGACATTTAAAATGTTTTGATAACTTAGAATTCTGTTAACGTTGAGACACGATTGCTCCTGGAAGGACCAATCTACTCCCTTGAGAGAATGCCGGGCTTCTAAGACACTCCATTTGAAAGTTTATCTTCTTCTTGACACAAAATGGCCTGCTGGGCAAAGAACTGCCCTTGCCTCGACTGCTGACAGTACAAAGGCTGTCCTTTCTGGATGAGCAGGACACAAGGAAAAGTGACTACTGAAACTTGCCAAAACAGGTAAAGATGGTCTCTCAAAATTCTTGCTTCTGAAAATGGTCTGTCAGATATTCTAGTCCTTTAGTCAAAATGGATGTCCCAATTGTGCTGAGAATCTTTAGGTGACTGTCCAGGCTGCCAGTTGTCTCTGTCTATTCTCAAATTTTTTTCAGAAGTTGCTTGTTTGCACTTCCTGTTTTCTCGGGTAATATTATGTTCCTTCTCAGGTCTTTGATGGGGTTGAAGACTAGATAGTTACAGTTATAATCCTCTCATATATCTTAGCTAAGAATATTTCAGATAATAAAGTTAGATTCTTTAGGATAGTACAGCTATTGGAGCAATCTCTGTAACATGCCATTTACCTATATTCTGGACATTTCTGGATTTTAGTATGTGTCTCTTGTTTGATGTTGCTCTTGCTGGTTGTATTTCTATTTTTTTTATGTTATTACCTTTCCCCTCTCCTGGACAATACTTGATAATTGTGCCTATTGTATATAGTTTTGTATTAGGTTAGAATTTTCTTATTTTTTTTTAAGATTTATATATTTATTATGTATACAGATCTCATTACAAATGATTGTGAGCCACCATGTGGTTGCTGGGAATTGAACTCAGGACCTCTGGAAGAGCAGTCAGTGCTCTTAACCTCTGAGCCATCTCTCTAGCCCCGAATTTTCTTATTTAAACAAAAGGGGGACATGTAGTGAATAGCTGTTCTGTCTATGACCTTGTAATACTGCCCCTAGAGATGTAGCAGGTAACTATCCTACCTACCTATGACCTTGAATTACCTGCCCTTGGGACATGGCTCAGGGCTACCCTTAAAACCTGAGGTGCATGTAAGCCATGCTGGTTTCTTTTCTCACTCATGGGCTGGATGGTGTAGACTGTCTCAGAGGCAGAACAGCATTGGACTGTACCTCAGCTTTCCAGGACTCTACAATGAATCTCCCATGCTGTAGTGAGTTTTCTCCCCTAATAAATTCATTCACCCTTTAAGCAGACTCCATGGGTTTCTCATATTACCTCCCAGAATCCCTTAGTAGCCAGGGTGTCAACAGAGTTATTAGACTTGACTCTTGAGGCTGAACTGACTGGGCACCATTATTTCTTTTAAGGTATCATTTGCTTGTCTTTCTCTATACACATATAAAATTGATATCTTCACCACAGGTGTGTGAATTCCTAGAATTTAGAGTTCAGCAGAAGAGATATAGGAAATAGAACTGGGAAGGTGACAGCCAAAATGAAAAATGACATTTCAAAGTGAAGTGCTTACTACTATTGAGACTTTCACAAGAACCCAGCAATTTCTACATGCTGTTATACTTCAGGGTTTCAAAGAAAATATTGATTCAGTCCAGAACCTTAAAATTTCAAAATCTCATTGTGAAGATAAAACAATCAGCACCCCTAGCAAATATGGAATAATTAGCAAACACACATGACACTGAACAGATGGTCGATTGTGATACTCAACAGCATTTGGTAGGTTAAGAAAGAGCTGAGAGAAAGGCCCTCCACATGCCCCTTTCTAACCCATCCCATCTAATCCAACATTCCCTATAGCCTCAAAATTGATCACACCACAAACTTTGTCTTTGGCCCATTCTCTAACCATGTCCCTGATACACCTTTTTGCTGAGATCATGTGGTCAAGCATGCATTCTATTAAAGCCTTAACTACCTCTATGAGCAAGGAGCAGTCTTTGTTCAGAGAATATCACACATAGTGGTGATTAGTCACTCTCAGCAAAAATTTATACAAAAAGGCAGTCTTGCACAGTTAATGAAAGTCATTCAGAAAGGACAAAATGGTTGCTCTGAACTATATCTAATAAAAGACTAAGGCTATAAGAATACTCAACAAAATGATATACCATCATGATTAACACATTTAAATAGGAAACAAGAAAATTGTTTAATTCTCCACTGGAAATGAGGCTTTTAAACTTCACTGACTTAGCACATTAGCTCAAGAGAGCAGAGATAGAGATATTGAGAACTCAGAGGAGAAAGAATCAACACTAGGTGTTAGTTACTGGGGCCTTGAAAAATGGAGAAAATGCAAAGTGAAAACCTCTCAGAGGGTGGAGCCTGCAGAACACTATTTTATTTCCATTTTTGCTGTTGTTGCTTTTTTGTTTTTAATTTCATAAAAGGAAGGACTACAGTTCAGGAAAAGAAGGGCAGTTTTATGAGTCATAGGGGACTTCCTTACAAGGGTTGAGACTTTCTGGGCAGTCTTTTCACAATCTCATCAGAAATCCCCACTTCCCTATACTAAGGAAATACCCAGCAATTTACGTTTTACAGTATGAAGCTGTCTGCACTGTGGAGAGAACGGAGGCTTTTTCTCATGGCTGGTGAGCCTGGGAGTCCTTCCTGAATAGGGACTAGGACTTAAATCCTAAAAATTACTTTATCCATATCTCTGAGAGAGGCAGAGGTAACAAAAGGGAAACAGAGCAATGATGTAGAAGCCAGATCCCACCTGCCTGGTCATTGTGCACTGGAAACTACTGTGTATCAGGAATTGTAGAGATAATGAAATACATGTAACTTTGAGCCACAAAGACATTGATCTCTTGTTTTCCATTTCTGGGAATCAAAGAGAAGAGCAAGGACAGAATAACACACATCTAAGAAAGCTCTAGAAGTCTGTAATAAACTCTGAAATTTTGTTTTCCTGGGATACTGAATTTTTCACTTAGCCACCCAAATTCCTCTTATAAACAGACTAGAGCACACTTGAGGTCACCACCCATTTCCCATCTCTAGATTAAAAAGAATTCCGTTTTCTTGCTAGCTCTCTACTTCTGCTAAAACCAACTCTGATGCAACTCACTCTAGGATTCCTATCCTGGCCTCTTTGTGGCTCCTGTCGCTCTTTGCGGCTCTTAGCCTTGGCATACTTCAAAAGTAAGAATGGGAAATGGACTGACATTACACAAAACAAAGTATAGTATCCTTATAAATATACATATTTATAACATTCTATTATGCTGCCTGGGACTGAAATACAGACTGGATGAGTTCCATCTTCTAATTTTCCTTTTAATTTTTTTGTTATCACTGTAAACCCTCCTAAGCAATAACTACAGTGACAGCAAATAATCTACAATTATGATTTTTGAAATATTTAATGTTCTCTGTCTTCATATTCAAAGTTACATTTTATGATTGATGAAAAGTTATGTATATCACCTTAGGTCCAGTAGTATCCTTTGGCTTGTTCACAAACTCGGGAACCTGACATTACCTTATTTTTCTGCAGAACTGTTCTAAGAATTGCTTGCATCTAACGATTGCCTTTTCTGATTTTGTTGCACACTTTTGGTCAGAGTATGCTCCCTTCTAAAGCTTAGCCCCTCCAGATTCCTAACTGCACCAGACAGTCTCAGAATACCATGAACCTTGCCAGAAGAGGAAACTTGAGGAGAGGGCGGTGTCCCACAAACCTTTCGGGTATCACATTTCCTCCTCTAAGAAGATATCTTCTTGTAGCAGGAATCTTAAAGAGTCTTATTAATAAAATCAAACCTGAGGCCAGTTATTGGGGTGAACACTGGATGGTCAGAGAGACAGGACAAGCCACAGCTAACCTCACCTGGCCAACTTCTCGGCTGACCTTGTTTCCTCAGACTGGAGGCCTGGCCTCTGTGTCCTCATATCTGAATGGCTCTCAGCTGAACTGTGCTGCTCAAAAGCTTAACCAGCCAAATGCTTCTAGTTTCTGGTCCTCATGCCTTATATACCTTTCTGCTTTCTACTACCACTCCCTGGGATTAAAGGCTCGCTTTCTGGGATTAAAGGTGTGTGTCACCATGCCTGGCTGTTTCAAGTATGGCCTTGAACTCACAGAGATCCAGAGGGATTTCTACCTCTGGAGTGCTAGGGTTAAAGGTGTGAGTGCCACCATTTTCTAGCCTTTGTATCTAGTGGCTGTTCTGTCTCTGACCCCAGATAAGTTTATTAGGGTGCACAATATTTTGGGGAACACAATACCACCACATCTTCTAATAGATGAATGCTTTTAAAAATGATTTTCATATATATATATATATATATATATATATATGTCAATTATTTAAATCATTATAGTGTTTTATATAGCTTGTTTGAATAACTATCTCTACATTTGCCCTATAAGTGTTGCTGTGGAGGGACACATTTCCCAAATAACATTCCCAAAGCTAGTAAATTATCATTTACAAAGAGATGTTCAATAATGTTGCTGACTGAAGGAAAGGATCAGTGCACCTCACTTCAGCTTGAATTCTTCCAATGTTTTATATTTCTTGTTTAGTAAGTAAAACCTGCCTTGTTATTAAATATGATTAAATAGTTGAGTTAATCCTACATATAGTTCTTGTTCATATACTTCATAATCAAGTGAGTCATAGAGAATTGTTGATGACTACCTTAATATCAGACATAATGGAGACTAATGGGTGGTCCAGGGCTTCCTAGAGCTTAGAATCTACTGATGAAATAATACTGATATGTAGGCTGCAATCATCATTATGCAGCAAAAAAATGCCAGATTAGGAAGAAGCAGGTATCTTAAGAACAAACACCTTTAACATTTAGAAGCATCAAGGGAGTTTACCAAGTTTAGTGTTAACTAAGCTGAGATATGTGGAGTAAACTAAAAAGAGTGAGACTAGAAGAAAGGAGTACTTAGGAGACCAACACTGTAGGGAGTTATATGTAGATTTCTAGAATAAAAGAGGATGGGATGTTCAAAAGTCTGTGAGCAAGATAGAAACTATATAACAAAATGAGTCAGAATGATGAGGTCTATCTAGGTTTAAACTGAGATCTTAGAATAATCAGTTTCATTGTAAAGAATAAATGAGAAAGAGATAAGATATTTCAAAGTTCACAGAATAATTGTGAATAGAAAAATTTTGATGTAAATGGGAAAAGCAAAGGGAATTAAGAAGAATGGACAGATTCTGCAAATATTTAGCAGACATAATGAAGAAAACATAGATTTAGGTAGAAAATAAGACATAAACCAAAGATGTATACTGACTGACACCAGACTTTGCTGCTTTTTATGTTGGAGGTGAGGTGTTTATTAGTAAGTATACTAAGAAGGATGTTTTTAAATGAGCCACTTCAATTTTTAAATTCAATATAATGAGATTACGGGTTATGGAAAAAAGATAGTACATTGATTATTGAATATGTAATTCTCAATATTGGGATCCAGATGTATGCTGAATCTATGTAGTCAAAAATTACTTATTATTTAAAGTTTATAATTGGTGCACTGAGCATATGTGACTTACAAGAATGATCTTCCGTACAAACATTTGCCCTTAAGTGATAATTTATGTATTTATGTAATTGGCAAATAATACATATACTTATTATATAAAATGTTTTAAAATATGTGTACATTGTTCAAAACCTAAGTAGGATTAATTAACATATGTGCTACTTCTGATCTTTTGTTGTGTGGTGATAAACACTTACATTCTCTAAGAAATTTACAACAATATGGTACATCATTATTAACTATAGTCACTGTTCTCTGGAGAAGCTATGGGATTTATTTCTCCTATCTAGAGAATGGTGGCTTCCTTTCAGCAGCAACTCTCCCAGCTGCTCCTCAACCCACCTTGCTACTCTCTTCCCGATGTGACATTTTTAGATTCCACACATAAGTAGGATCATATTATATTTTAGTTTTTAGTGCATGGCTTGGTTTATTTTACTTAAAACAATGTCCTGCAGTTTTATCCAGAACTTCATTTAAAATGCTAAGTTTTACAAATGCTGAAAACACCGTAAATATCCTTTTCCTTATATACTCACCTATCCACAGATGCTTATACTGATTCTATGTCTTGGCTGATATAAACAATACTGCAATGAGTATTAGAGTTAAAATTCCTTCACCATCCTTATTTCATACATAGGATATAACCAGGAGTGATTTTGATTGGTCTGAAGTAGTTCTAAATTATTTCTAATGAATCTCCATGAATGATTTTTATTTTTCTAGTGACTGTACTAGTTTATACTGCCACCAATAATGTTTAAGGCTCACTTCCTTAGCATACTCTACACCACTACTCTTGTGTCTTTTTTTAAGTTTTGTTTATTCATCTATCATACAATACACCTCGACCTCAATTTTCCTACCCTCCACTCCTCCCAGTACCCTACCACCACCTCCCCTTTTCCCCAAATTCACTCCACACTCATATTTTCCCCAAGAAAAAAAAACAGGCCTCCCAAAGACATCAATCAAACATGACGTACCAACATACAATAAGACCAGCACAAACTCTCACATCAAGGCCAGACGAGGCAATCCAATAGGAGGAAAAGGGTCCCAAAAGTAGGCAAAAAAGCCAGAGACACCCCCATACCCACTGGTAGGAATACTCTCCAAACACCAAGCCAACAAGTATAATATATATGCAGAGAACCTAGCATAAACCCACGCAGGCTCTAAGATTGTTGCTTCAGTCTCTGTGAGCCCCCATGAGCCTTTATTAGTTGATTCTGTGGGGCATGTTCTCCCAGTGTCTTCCCTCCTCTCTGCTTCCCACAATTCCTCCTCCTTCTCTTCCATGAAATTCCCCAAGCTCCAAGGGGTGGGACTCAATGGAGACCTCTAACCTGGGCGCTCTCTCCACCAAGCATCTCTCTGATGATGACTGGTCTAGGTTCCAATCTATGAGTATAGCAGAACATCATTAGGAATCATTTCAATGTTTTTGTTTTGTTTTGTTTTGTTTTGCCAATTGTGTTTGGTTCTACCCT